AGAGTCCAGTCTGTGTATGGCAAGAATCTGGTAATACATACCTGTGATGATGTAACAGGTCATATATTGTAGTTTTAAAATCAAAATTTAGAATTCACGTATAAGAAACACAACCATATGCATGAATATTTTTTTTTTTTATCAACACAACAGATCTGCAATATCATAGCCTCAGTTTACATTTACAGCACTGCTTCAGCAGTGGACTTAACCAGTGATATTCAGATAAACGGTACACTAAAATATGTTTGAGAAACGATTTTGGGAGAGAAACAGAGAAACAAGTAACATAAATCTGGATCCATATCTGATCAGACTGCCTAGTTTGACAGTTTAATCTGAGTTTGGTGCGTTGAGCTGACGCGATACTGAGAATGAGTTACTGTCAATCACAAAGTAGCCACGCCTAAAGCATACCTGCTTTATGGTCTGTTACTCTAAAGGGACCTCAGTTCTAAATGAACATCATGCTGTTATGAAGAAGACTGAAACTAGAGATGAGACTAAACGTATTAGGAAACTGTTTACTGAGATAATATCAGTCACAAGTTGGCTCGTTTCTCTATAAGGCTCTATACTATCAGCTTCTTTTGCAGCCAATGGAGCTGCCCCCTGCTGGCCTTTACATAGAATGCATGTTTAAGACACTTTTGCATTGGCTTCACTTCACAGACCAGAAGAATACACTGGCAATGCAATACAATATTATATATTGTACCATACTTATTGAAAAATATATACAATAAGTGGGAAAATCTATTCTGTGTACTGCAAAAAGGAGGGACTGAGAGAACACTCGATATCAGTGTGTCAGAATGTAGAACTATTGAACACTTATTTTAGCAAAAAAAATATGGCTTACAGCGACCTTTAACACCCAGAGACCACAGTGTCATCATTAATTCTGTCACTGAACAGAGGTTATTAGTGCACTCTGATAATTACAGCTGTGTCATATGAGAGAACGTAACTTCCTTGTCCGTGCTTCCTCGACAGCCTCGACGACGGAAAGTCGGCATAGAGAACATGGCTCTGGAGCCCTGACAGCTGAACTGCACTGATCAAGTATTGATGGAGCCAGGAGCAGAGCCTGATAGTTTGAGTCCTGTGCCAAAACACAAGCTTTGATTTTAGTCTGCAGCTTAATGAAGTCTACCGGCACACAGAATGAATAGTTGCTACCCAGTTATGGAAATCTAACACACGTGATCTTGTTGACTGTCACTATGGGGCTTATTGCTAGGATACCACAGATGAGCTGCCTGCATTTTTATGTCTCTGTAGATTTGAATGTCACTTCCTCTTTTCTTCTTCTTCTTCCTTATCTTGAAGGATAATGTTTTAATTTGAATGTTTTATTAAGTAATAAATACATTAAAGTAATAAAACTTGCTTAGTGTTTGTGTGTTCCTTCTCATACTGTGTTCGGTTATGAAACACTTTTCAAACAACCAGTCAAAAGAGGACAAAGTGCGCACAATCATATGAAGGTACACATCATAAAACTGTTTGAGTTGTGAGGACAGCAGGAAGGTTTACAGGTCCAGATGCTCTGGCCTTTTTTAAAGCAGTGAAAAAAAGCGATGGAAAAGTTATTCTCTATTTTTGACTTCCTTGGGGCATCAACAACCAGGGTTTTTAATACAGGCCTCAGACAGTTGAGATGTGACTTCATGGTTAATTTTCATCAAATATATAATGATATTGACAACAGCGAATGGTTTTTTTATTTCCTAAAAAAAAATAATTTATAATCATAGAATCACTAACTTTACCACTATATATCTATATATAGGAATACTTTTAAATGTATCATATTAAAGCTGGTCATTTTCATAAAAATAATTTTGTCATATTTGAAACTTTCACTATAACCTGACAGCAGTGCACCTAATGCTCCTAATGGTGTGTGGAAGAATCCACCGGGCCTGAATAAAACCAACCAATCAGAGCAGAGAAGGATAGTTGATTGTTGAGTCTCATTCTCAGGGTGTCACATACAGACACTTTAGGACCCTAGGAATCTTCAAGCCTCCAACCCAAAGCGTCTTTATATCTTTCTGCCGTCCTTTTCACCACAGCAGACCCATGTAAAAGTAGAAACAGAGCAGCTTTATGCTTGTGACACCATCCAAAACTTCTAGAAATCCAAATCCATAAATATAAATTTCTTCTTTCAACTCTATCCAGTTAGGATAGGATTTCCTTAAACACAGAGTTCAAGGGAAAAGAAAGGACATACTTTTTGGACTATTTGATCACAGCCAATGTCCGGGGTCAGTGTACTTTGTGTCCAACAGATTTTTGTTTTGAAATGAGAAAACCAAAAAAAACGAGCAGTTTCCTGACGTTTGTTTCGAAAATAAAAACACGATTCCTATATTAAGGTAATTATACACTAATGATAACTTTCTGACAATAGATCTTCCTCAATGTTATACACTAGATCTTTAAAGCAGGGAACTGTGATTTTGTGTTGAATCTGGACAAAAGTCTTTACATGTGACTGCATACTGAAGCTTTAAACCTCTGCATATTCTTTGAACTGAACACAAACACAAACTGTAATATCATGTTTAATGGATATATGTAACCTCACTGCAGCAGCAGGAAGCAGATAATTCAATATGGACAGCTTATTGTTTTAGAATATCTTTATTGCACAGATATCAGATACATCATTTCCACATTTTATATGATAGACAACTTTTCAAAATAGATTAACACTTACTGGAATGAAGTCATTTGTTCCTGATTGGATCAGTGTTTTGGTTCACAGGGAATCAACAACATGTGCAAAATGTGAAGAATAAATATGAACATACAGCAGACAGAGACATGAAATCAAAGGTTATAGACACAGGTCAACAGACACGACAAGTAGCTTATCATTTAGACATAACTGTGGAGTAGCAAATGGAATGTGAGTTGTGTCATTTCTTCGAAGTGAGCAATAACTAAACAAAAAGCAAAGCGCTGGCCCAGCTCCAATGTCTGCCCAGATGCCACATTAATGTCATAGTATTTCCAATTTGTAAACAGAGTTCATGTCAACATCCAAGTTGAAATTACTTAATTACTTGGACACTTAAAACCAAATATGAAAAGGACGTTTTTCAATGTAATCAAAGCCAAATTTAATGGATGTAGTTATTTCTCACACGACCAACTTTTTAATCATACAACCGCCTTGATGACATGAATGCAGGTTGTTAACATGAGAGTCTTTTCCTGCCTCTACCTTCAATCCCATATGATGTGATTGTGGCGTGAGGGCACAATCTCACACATGCAAAATGGCCACTGGTGAATACTGGCCTCCCATTCCATTCCATTCTATGTGAGCGAGCGACAAACAAATAAAAACCTTTGTATATTTCTTCTTCACTTCGACTGGCCTGAACCAATAGCAGATGCATGTATAGTTGACCCCTAAAACGGACTACAGGTAATAAAAAAACTAGTCTCTAAATTTCCAGTTTTTCCAGGATGCGTGGGAAGCCTGCCTAAGGCCTGAACCGTCAGAAAGTGCAGCTCCCCTTTAGGGCTGATCATGCTTAAAATCTAAGTGTGTCTCCAGGTGTGGGAGAGCGTTACTGAATGTCAGCTGTATAAAGCTTCTAGTGTCTCCAGGGAGCTGTGTGCAGTCTGAGAAATGTCCTCAGGTGATTGAGTCAGCGTCGTTTGGGGCTGAAGAATTCTAAAATCTTGGAGTTAGAAAAAGCTTACCAGACCTCTGTGGCCCGCTCCTCATCTGGGCAGCAGGCTATCTGCTCCAGGCTACATTAGCTGCTGCTAGCATAACACAGCATGCGAGGAGTGGGGCAGTCAAGCTACCTGGATGAAGCAACCTCGTATTGTATTATGTATTGTGGGTTATAGCCTTGAGCGACGTCTGTGGAGCTGCACACACACATAAAAGGACTCACTACTTTTTACTGTAAGACAGCTCTGGGGAAAGTGTCTGAGACAGTGGGACATTGGAACTGGGCCACGAACAGATGATACTATACTGTCAGTGAATGTATCCTCTAAACACTCACAGTGGAAAATGTTTTCCCTCATACTATTGTATCCCCTCATAGCTTTGACTTTTTATTTTCCCCTTTGCCTTCTCTTTCCAATACTGTTACATTGCCAACATACTGTGCAACACCCAGTGCTTTAAACTTGACCTAAAACCTGTCTCATAGGAATAATTACGGAATTAGTTAAACTGAAAAGAAATCATCAGAGTAAAGTTTTTTTTATTTTCAGTGCTGTTTGTTTGTCAGCAGGATTACAGAAAAACTACTGCTCTGATTGTAATGAAACTTGTTGGAAGGGTGAAGCATGGGCCAAGAGAAAACCATTAAAGTTTGGAGTGGATCCAAATCGTGGGGCGGATTATTTTTCACTTTGGTTAACATTGCAGTCTATTGTAACACCGGTGTCTATGGCAAAATGAAGTGAAATTGTTGTGCATGTTGTAGTTAAAGTCCAGATGAAATGAAAAATGCCCTTTTAACCCTTTAAGATCATGTCACCTGTCAAACTGTACTGCTATTTAACAATGCATGCCAAAAAAAAAGATCTTGATATTGAAATCCAATAATTACGTAAGTGTGAACCACCCAATTTCAACCAATAATATCATGACATCCACCTGTCAATCAAGCTTCAACTGAACGGGGCTCAGCAGCCTCCCAGTGAACACAACCTACAAAACAGATGGAGGGCAGTTTGACGACATTGGTACCAAGGTGATTGATGGACTTTTAGCTAAAAGCAGCTAATGTTAGCTTCACAAGCTAACTAGCTAATGGCAGATAACATTAGCGGACTCAGCCCTGGGATACCAGGAGCAAAACCCAGCAAAAACAAAAAAACTCTGTCCTGTATTCCCTGACGCCAAACTGTCCTCCACCAGCATCAGATGCTGCATTCAGTCCCGGTCTGGCTGTGCTGTTCACTGGGAGCTCCCAGTCAGCGAAAAAGGAAGATTATAGCTGCTTGGCAGGTGGACGTAACACACATTCAGCGCTATTGGCTACAGTGACGAGTCCCTCCATAGTTGCCAGTTTTTACATGAAATACATAAATATGCAGAAGCAAACAGCAATCTAATTTCTGTTTTGTGTGGACTTTGAAGTGAATGGTGTGCTGTAACTAAACAGACAACAAAAGATGTGAGTCTGCGGTCTCTGAGTGCCCTTGTAGTTTCTAAAACAAGAGCTTAGTGTCGTCTAGGAGACCATAAACAGACACAGTACTGTGGATGGCTTTATTAGTGCAGGTGGATTGTTAATGATTCAAAGTTTAAAGTGTTTTCGTATTGTACTTCCATACAGATGACCTACAACAGACAGATAAATAAATAAGTAAATACAAAATCTGTGCAGCAAGGGTTGAGCTCCAAAAACATTGGATCTTACACATCCCATAATGCAACTCAAATGTCTTTGTCAGACCCTCCTTCCTAGTAAATCCCACTTCTATCAACCACACTTCGAGTTTCTAACAACCGAACAAAGAGAAGTCATCCACTGATCCAGACCAGAATAAACCAACATTAAATATCAATAGCAATCACAATTGTGGCTTCTTACAATTAAATTAAGGTGATCGTCTATGATATTGAGGTTTAAAATGCTCTGCTCAAAGAAAACTTTACTGCATATCAAATTAAGCACTTCCTAAACTAACAGCAGCCACCACAGGTGAGCCAGACGTTCAGGTTTTCCTTTTGGGGAGCCGTCCTGTCGCTGCACACACACCCTGCTGCTGCAGCATGGATACTTTTATTCCCGCAAGAAATGCTGTATTAAGCTTATACTAAAAAAAATAAACATTTCCTACTGCTGCAGCTTCACATTAACAACATTTAACTTGAGAAACACAAGTTGACTTTTATTTTGAAGTAAGCTAGTCACAGGAAGTGCAGAGTTTGTCAGCTAGCTTGACACTGACTGCTATTGTTGCGTCTAAAATGCGTCTACAAAACAAGACAAAGGTCATATTCAGATTTTTAGTACTCTCTAGATGAAATAATCGTATTGATCAAAATAATCAAGATGATCACTTTAGCTATAATCGTGCAGCCCTAAAACCACCCCATGACAAGGTAGTCAAAAGTATTGATACTTGGATACTTTTTTTGATACAATCTGCATTACTTGACGGTTACGGTTTGAGTTTCCCATTGGAAAGGATTTTATTTCTCCTTTATTTGTACAAGGAAAAGCCATGGAGAGCACTTGTTTACAAGTGAAGCAACATTAGAGAAAAAAATAAATAATACTTAAAGAACAACATAAAGAATGTGTAGGCCTACAAGGTAGGGAAAATATTTAAGAATAATAATAATAGTCTTAACTATTAACATTATTACAAATGTGTACATTGTTTAGTAACTTTATCTGTAGCAGCACTGTGTGCAAGTTCTTAATTTAAAAAAAGGAAGGAAAAATGATCCTTTTTTGTGTGCTAACGGCTTTTTTTGCTATGGTATTGAAAGAGGTATTAAGTATCTCTTTTTTATACTAGTATTTAATAAAGTTTAAAATTCTAGTATTGTGACAACCTTAGATGTCACCTGAGTTCCTTTCTCAGATAAAACTCCTTCAGAGACACAGGAAAATGAATATGACAGCTGGGAGAAAGAAAGTAGGACTATATTGTGAGGGAAGAAACTTTGAAACTGCTGTGAAGGAACTCAAAGTATTTCAGGAAAGAACCTCCCACTGTGAGCTCTTAGTGCTGCCTAGTCGTCCGACCCTGAGTACACACATTAGTGTTCCACACAACAGCTCAGAAGACTTTGGGATGAGAACCAGATAAATACTCAGAAAGTACTGGGCTGCTTAAGTGTAACAAAAAATCATTCTAATAATAAAATCAACAGCAACAATCACATTCATTCATTGAGAAGTTCAAGTCAGTGCTGGGAGATGCAACACATACATCAGAGAAACAACTGGGAAATGGCAAACATTGGTATCTGTCGGGGTTGGATTGGCTCCCTCTGCTAATCATGCAACACTTAGAACTAAATGACAGGATGATAAATATATGTAAAAAAATAAAAACCTTCCCAGGATGTCCCTTACACTTGGTGGTTAGTTTGGGTCTGACCAGTCTCCGGAGGATGGACGGGAGGTGGATTAGAAAGGTCTGTAGTTCCAGAAACTGGAGAAGACAGATATCTGCAGGGATGGGAGGAAAGGTTAATTATCTACCAACCAACCAACCAACCAACCAACCATATACCCAACAGTACCACCATGAGCAAGCACTTGGCGACGGCAGCAAGGAAAAACGTACTTTTAAGACGCAGAAACCTAGGACAGACCCTTCGGCTCTAGGTGGGTGGTCGTCTGTCTCGACAATC